ATGGTTCATATCTATATAGTAGCTGTGCAGAAGTGAAAGTATAAAGTGATACTGACTATCAGCTGGATAAATATTCAAGAATAAGATTCAGTAATTACTGAACTTCATTGGAAGAGGGAACCAACCTTACCACTGTTTCTAAGCGTTCAATATTGGTCTCAAAACAAACAGAACAAACTGGTGAAAAACAACCCATTCGGGAGGAGATAGTAGGAACTGCCGATGCTGGAGTCTGAGATAACAAGGTGTGGAGCTGGAGGAACGCAGCAGGCCAGGCAGCATCAGAGGAGCAGGAAAACTGACGTTTCGGGTCGGGACCCTTCTTCAGAAATGGGGGAGGGGAAGGGGGCTCTGAAATAAATGGTGGGGGAGCAGTGACAGCAGGTAGTTTTCTATCTACAGTATAAATGCTCAGGCAGATGCTGTGAGAAATAGCTGGCCCTAAGTTACATTGTCTGAACCAGAATCTCATAAAGACCTGAGAGCTTCGGAGGAAAATTAATCGAGCAGTTTGCAACAGTAACAATAAAAGAAATTACAACAACCCATCAGACTCTTTAGCATTCTTTACTTTATTAAACTGACACAATGTGTTACATTACAATGGAAACAAATACAAATTACTTTGAATTTCTTGTGGTTAAATTATGTTGCCTATATAGATTGAACAAATTTAATTGTATTTTCTTAGAAGGCTTCATTTACTATACCTACAAAATATGGGTCAATATTTGTTTGAAGAAATATATCACCAGGTACCATCTAATCTCATTCAAGAATTGTTTGCTTCGATTTAACTGATCAATAAAGGGCAATTATTGCCTTTTTGAAAAATAATTTAGCTTCTTTGGTAATAATCGTAAGCTATTTGAATATATTCCACAAAATATAAGCTAAGTGGAAATTTATTATATATGAAATATGCTACACATTTAAATAAGGGATTGGGGTGAGATCAGAATACCAACACAGTGCATCTTCACAGAATAACGTTGGTAAAATGTATTTATGCCATTGGACTGTATGCAGTAAGTTCTTCCAGGATTCTTGACTCATGCAAATAAATCTTGTCTTTTGCGCTTTCCAATGTGAAAATCAGTGCTTTCTTCATGACAAATACTAAACACTGAATCTAATAAACAAACCAAGTCCAGTGAGTGGACTTCATAAACTGGCAACCATTTCATCATGACCCCTGCAGGAAAACCCAAACACCTAAATGTCTTGGTAGACTATGTAATGATGTAATCATTTTATGTGGCATCTTTTAAAGATGCAGATGTAGACTGTGTTTACATCTGAACAGACAGTGTACCTGCAAGACCTTTTGTAAATTTGTGGATATTTTGTTGCGAAAAGGCAATTTTTTAAAAGAAGTGCTCCAATGAAATTGCACTTTCTTGTTAACTTCTTTCAATAATTAACATAAATCTCCATAATGCACAGAAGTATTACAGACCTGTCAGTTTATGGAGATTTAAATTTATCATTGTCCTGCAGAAGTACCTTTGGAAACAGGGATGGAAATGCAGCCAATGATTCTAATCATTTTACTGCATCATTACAGATGCTCACCACATCATAAAAATATATACTCTTGGCCTATTTTGGTAAATTATTAGCCAGGATATTCTGATTCTGCTTTCTCTGGATGGTCTTATATGAGTAGAAGCAGAGAGAGGTTTATTCCAATCTTTGCTTCCTGTGTTAGAAATGCAGGTACCTTTAAGGTTCCAGCAATTTTAATCAACCTGTACAGATATGCTGAGATGCACTTCCAGGGGAGATGGGACTTATACCCCAACCTACTAGCCTAGAGGTAGGGATATTGCACTGCACCATAAAATCCCCTAAGGGTTAAACAGATCAGATCCAGAATTGAGAGTAGGTAATACTCATTGAAAATTTTTATTTAAGAGCGAGGCTTCTCTCTCTCTCCCTACCTTTCTTTCCCTTGGTTTTATTATTGTTGCACTGGCCTTGACGGGCTGTCCTTCTACATTGGTCATTTCATTATAAATGCAGGGGCTTCTGTCGTGGTAAAAAAATTGCTCAGTCACTCTTCCTGACTGTTAACTCCACTTCTGTGACTATGTTCACACCTGGGTGTCCTTGGAGAGAGAGCACATAGTATCCACCAACACCTCTGAAACTTTTAGAAGATAGTGAGTGCCATGGGTGCTGGGGACACTATTTCCTTTCCAACTCCATTTTAATTCAGTCCCTCTTTCTTTCCCCACCCTTCCTTGACTTTTGTTATTGTGGCACTGTCCCAGTGGTCAGTGCTTGTTATTCATTAATTGGGTGATTTGGTGGTGGGTGTTTCAAAATAAAAAGAAATGCTACGTTTGAGGGGGTGGGCAGGCCAGAAGACCTCCCCATGGGCCTGGATAAAGTAGCCATTGATAGGTCCAAGCAATGGGCCAACTATTTTGATTTAGTTCTCTCCTTTATTTCCCCATCTTTTTGATTTTTGTTATTGTAACACTGCCCCTGGTGGGCAGTGCTTGTAAATTACTGGGTGATCAGCTTGTTTGGTGCTTTCTTAAAATAAAATAAAAAGCTGAGTTCTTCTTTAGATTGCTCCCCTCCACTGCTGATTGTAGCTGTTGTTATATTCACCTGGCCCAAAGGTAGAGACACTACCACTGCACCACAAGTGCCTTTTTTGTTTCATTCATTTCTCATTCATTTGTGACTTGTTTAACTGGTGCTTGGGTTAATTAAAAAAGAAGAGCTGGCTTCTTCCCAAGTGGAGAGTGGGCTTCTGGACAGGGAAGAGGCCAGAGGGGAAAAGTATATACTGGTTTTATCCTAGGCTATAAATTTACAATTTTTGTGAATTCAACATATGGATTTTGGTTTGTTAAACAAAGTACAGAATCTCTACAGATTGGGGCCATTCAGCCCATAGTGACCTTCTGAAGACAATCCTATCCAGACCCACTGCCATCTCCATAACCCCACATTTCCCATGGCTAACCCAACTAGACTGCACATCCCTGCAGCAATTTAGCACAGCCAATCCACCTAACCTGCACATCTTTGGAGTGTGGGAGGAAACTAGAACACCCAGAACATGCAAACTCCACACAGACAATCAGCCAAAGCTGGAATTGAACTCAGGTCCCTGGCACTATAAGGCAGCAGTGCTAACCACTGGGCCACCATGGTTCCTTACATATGTCCCTTTCTAAGTGTTTATCCAGTTCCCTCTAAACTATTGTATTCCAAGGGTTCCTTATCTCATCATTAATTTTGCACTGCATGCTTAATAGTATTGGCTGTGGATAATTTCATTGCAGGCAAGTCCGATTATTAAATAGAAATTGCTTTACTTTAAAACCAATATCTAGGCTTTATTCAGATGACCAAACAATTACTATAAATTTTAATAACTGTGAACACATTTCCATTGATTCAACAAAGAGGCATGAGATCATCAGTGAGCAATGTGTCAGATAATTCATTTCTATTACCATTAAAATATTAACTACTCATCAAGTAAATATCTTGTAGAGTGTGAGAAATTATCAATATTCCTATGGGCTTTTAGAATGATTTGCATTGAAAACTATACAGGGCTCCACCTCTCTTCTTAGTTAATTATGTTACTTGTTTGTTCATGGGATGTAAGCATCACTGGCTGAACCAGAATACATTGTCCGTCCATGTTTGGCCTTGAAAAGTTGATGGTCAGCTGCTTTCTTGAACCACTGGAGTCTATCTGGGCTGTGAGAAAACAAGGAATTCCTGGATTTTGATCTAACAACAGTGAAGAAATAGTAACAGAGTTCTGAGTTTGAATGCTGTGCGTTCACATGCATCTGATACCTTTGCATGATTCAAATGTTATTCAAGTTTATAATGAGTTGGGGTGCATGAAATTATTTCATTAATGCAGCAAATAAATTCTGTGAGAACTTGTGATTTGTAGAAAATACAATCAATCAATATTTCAAGTGAAAATTAAGCATGCAGTCGCTTTCACTCTTACAAACTTGCAGCAAAACACAAAGTGTTAACAACAGGGATTCCATTGTGTGATTTCACCAGAAGAATTTGTATATAAAATGTAAATACATTTGAAATACAATACTGGTATAAGGTAAATTCATTAGGTCTGAGCTCCCACTATTGAAGGGTATGTGGGTTGAAGCCCAATCTCCATTGGGAGCAGGGGATTAGTGAATTTACCCTACAGATCTTTGAACACATCTCAAAAATGTACTTTCCTTAGAAGACCTTGCTTTGTAGAAGACTTAATTAAAGTCTATTGAATATTCTAGGAAGGCAAGCAAATAGTCCAGTCTTCTCAGTGGTCCATTAAACGGATATGACATCATATATGTTTAATAGGGAAAGCCAATTGCTTAAGACTGAGCAAAACAGAGGATAAAAACTGTTACTGTCAGGGTTTTTTCCTCACTGTCGACCCATCCTTTCAGTTTCTGGTGCTTTCTCCCAATGGCTCACTTGAGAATTGGCAAAACTAATACAAAGAGAAGGTGTGAACTTGGATGTCAGTGATGGGGATTCATATTGTTGGGTTCAGTAGTACAGTGTGTGCAAGCTAATTTGCTACTCTATGGGATGCTTAAAAAGTCATGTGTCCCCAGCTAAATGTTAAATAGGTAGATAACATCATAAGAAATAGGAACAGAAGTAGGCCATTTGGCCCACCAAGTCTGCTCTCATTCAATGAGATCATGGCAGATCTGCTAGTCCTCAACTCCACTTTCCTGACTTAACCACTGATGTCTCATCAAAGTTTGGGGAAATGGAGAATCTGTGTCCACCCATGAACTGAATATTGGAATCTTGAAACAAAATCAATGACAATAATGGATAGCGGTATCACTGTGATTAAGGATGTTGGGAATCTGTATCCACCCATGAGATTCATTGTATTTCAATTGTTGGTAACTGTAGTCTGGTTTTAAAACCTTGGTTTTAGACTCTTCAAGATACAACGTTTATGACTTATTCTCCATCTCCCTTCTCCCCCTCAAAAAGAACGCCAGGAATCACCTAGTCAGATGTAGATAAAACCTGAAATTGTTTTGCCCAGAAGCTAACAGATTTTCCAGACTGATTGCATCATTATCAGCTGACATTTTTTGGAGATGTGTAAAATGAGGTTGCAGTGGTTGATCAAGAAAACTATCTCAGGAAATTCTTGCCCCTGGCCATAACATAGGTTCAAATCTTGAGGTTATCTTTCATACATTTACCATTTCATGTAAGTGAGGCTGGTCTGTTTTGAATTGGTCCAGCAGATGGAGCATTGCACAAATTTGTTCCGATTGAGAAAATCAGCAATAATCATATTCCCAAAGCGTTCTAGGAGTATAGCAGGTAGATAATCTGTTTTTAATATTCTATGGATGAATATATACACTTGCCATGGAGACCAAATAATTTTCGACAAATAATCTTTGTCAATAAAAACATCAATCTATACAACTTATAAATACAAAATATAAACAATCCCATTTAAATTTTCAGAAATGGCACTCTTGTTTTCTTCATACGAAGGTAGTGAAAGGCACCACCATGTAAATGAAAACAGTAAGGAGCATGTATCAGTCATTTACATGGTGACATCATTGTTTCTTAATTACAAGTCTTAAGGCTGGTGTTTTCATGTGCAAAGATTTGGGAATAAATATGCTAAAATGCTGTCTCTCACAATGTCAGGCCTCTTTTGATTTAAAGCTGTCACATCCCTTATATCTCCTACCTGCATTCTTTGCACCCACACTGAAAACAGAAAAGCTTGAAGAAGTTTTATGTTGTCTTGTCAATTACTTTCTTCGGCAGATAATTCTTTGTTTCAAACCTTTGGTCAATCCAAGTACACAGAAATGTGGTCATTGGTAACTTAGAAATCATGGTTTTATATTTATGTATTTTTATATATATATATAAATATATATACACACATAGATACACACAGGGATCTCTATCTATCTATCCATATATATATTTTATATATATATTAAAAACATACATATAAACTTGAATGCACATTTTACAAAGGGACACCACAGCTTTAAATGGTTACTGAGCAGAATTACACACAGCTTAATAAATAGTGCATCAATAAAGTACGAACCTTAGAAGCAGACTTTCATTCAGCACCACTGAAAGATTTCAGACAGCACATGTAAAGGGGATTGGTTAGAGTTAAGCGACACAGAAGAACATTTAATTTTCACACTGGAACCATTGCAAAATCTTATCTTAAATCATATCATCAGTGACAACGTATTTTACTGGTCGACCTCCTTTAAAAATTCCCAAATTAAATTATTAACCACTTCGGGCTGGTCCTGTTGAAGCCAGTGACCAGCTTCAGCCACAATATTCAGTCTGAAGCTGCTCTTCACATAGGTCTTTGTGACCTCAGCCATTCTGAATTCCAGAAATTCTTCCTTTTCTCCCCACAGCAGCAAGGTGGGCGTCATCACTTCATTCTGATTCAAGGGAAGGCTACTGCAAAACAAAAGTAATGACTGAATGTAGTGAACAGCTATAGACTTAAACTTGAAATGCACAAAAATTCAGGTTTCTATTTTTGACTTAAACTGAAAAGTCATGAATGAAGAATGGGGTCATTTGTTTTGTTATATTTTTCATTTTACTTCGTCTTATAAAGGTATCTTTCCATTTAAAATAAGAACTGAAAATGTTGGATATATCCAGAACAACAGAAATTGCTGGAGAAACTCAGCAAGTCTGGCAGCATCCGTGGAGAGAAAGCAGGGTTAGCGTTTCTGGTCCCTTTGTCAGAAGATTTTTCTGGCTATACCCAGGCTATCTGACAGCATCTGTGGAGTGAGAGAATCAGGGTTAACCGGCAGAACCTTCCCACAACATCAGGATCTAACAGAGCCCACACTTGATGTCAGGGAAACTGAAGATCCTGCTGGTCTAAAAAAGGCAAAATACTGTGGAAGCTGGAAATCTGAAACAAACTCAGAGAATGCTGGAGAATCTCAGCAAGTTTGGCGGTGTCTGTGGAGAGAAAACAGTTAATGTTTCAAGTCTGGTATGACATTTCTTCAGAACTCCCAAGATTGGCAGCTGTACCACCTCAGCAGGTCCATCAGAAGAGGTGGGTACTGCTAAGGGTAACAGCCTGGTGAATACAGGGGTACCCAAACACAGAGGTAGCCTCAGGAGTGAAAATATAAATGGCATTTTAAAAGGGGTCAGCAGTGTGGAACCATACCCCTAGCTACAATGGCCCCACAGGGAGGCCTCCTGCATAGCTCCTGCAAGGAGGCTGCTCTGCCAGAGGCACAATCACTCAATCACACAATCAATCCTGACTTGCCCCCTTGAGCATGTAGATTACCTGGTTACCTCAGTCAGCCAATCTGCTTTCCAGTTCACCAAGGGAACATTCCCCAGTGGTGGGAATGCATCAAGGAAATTCCCTGTTATTTTTCTGCCCTTCCCTATCTGAGCCCATGACCACAGCACCCAGAAAATACACCAGAAAATACACCACAGCCTTTCACTTCTTTCAGAACTGGAAAATATCAGAGATGGAACATGTTTAAGTTCGAAGGCAGGGAAAAAGAGAGAGGAGTTCAAAAAACAAAGGGGAAAGTCCACAAGGTGGAAGGCAGCAAGGAGTAAATGATAAATGGGATGGTGCAAATGTTTGTACTTTTGTGTTCAGTTTACCTAAGAGCTGTGTATAAGTCGCTCTGTGTGTACGTGTTTCTGACTCTGTCTCCAAGACAAGAAAACAGTTTTAACAATGTATGCCAGTATTTAGAGTGTATATTCAGTGCATTAAGTATAAAATATGTGGATCTATGATTTCGCCATTACAATAAGAGAGTTGGTTTTAGTCATGTAGAAAAGAATGGGAGCCAGTATGCAGACATTATTTTTCCATGATGTGAGTTACTGAGCCACTAACTGTAAATATGTCCCATGATATTTGCTCAAGTTGAGGTGGAATGCTCAGGCCACTGTAACTGGCTCAATCAAGAGCTGCCTAAAAACAAGGAAAATGAAAGCTTGATTATAAGTGTGTGAGTAGGGCAAAAGAAAAAGAATAGTTACTCTTCTCATTGCAGGGATCATACAGATTTATATGCTGCAGTAATAGCTATGCAATTTTCCCTTAAGTAATGATGGTGGGTGTTAGTAGCTTCCACTAGAATAAGTCTAATTTTTAAAGATGATGTTGATATACCATTGTGATAACTTACGCATTTTAGCATACCTTTAGCGATTCAGGCACTGGAACACCTCACCACACACTAACATGAAAATTAAGTGATAAGGATTAAACTGAGTACCACTTCCATCACTATCAGCAGAGCCTATAAAACACACTGAAGTGTAAATTGTTGCCTTTAATTAAAACCAATTGAACTGGACAAATCCCAGAATATTCATTTATCAGCATGTGGTTTGCAAACTACATGGCTGCATGTCCTTAAGGTTTGGAATAACAGGGAGGATATTAAGAGGTGTCAGGCAGAGGAAGCAAAAACAAAATCAGGAGTTATATGGGTCAGCATCCTGGGTTTCGGTTGGTTGGTAGATCATAGCTGAAGATGTGCTGGTGGGGTACAGCAAAGCTTTCCTCCTTCACCTGGCCTACGAGCAGCACCACAGTAAACAATGACCTGCTACAAATTGTTGCTAAGGATTAGGAATTCTTACCAGCAGTAATTCAAATCACACCCAAGCTGTCACAAATGTACATATTTCAAATGACAGGTCAGCCTCACCAGAAAGTGTTACTTAGACATAATCCACTATAGTTGGAACCAGCTTTGGAATTCTTAAGATTTGGCCCAACCACAAGGTACTCCCCTTACTTCTTACTTGCTAACATTCCTCCAATGGAATTATCTTCATATATTTGCTGTCTACCACCTTTCTCCATCCATCACAGGGTGTTGAATCACAATCAGGCTCACATCTGTCAGACATCCAGTATTAGATGAACTACAGTTTTCTCCAGTAAACATTGGGAAAAACATTGTCTCTATCCACCACAACCTTTTTGCTTTTGCCTATGGATTGCTACATTGATGGGAATCACCACCCTGATGTTGTAAAGAGGCTTCCAGGTTTCGATGACCTCTTGCATTGTGTGATTGGGAACTCCTTGCTTCTCATGGCAATAAGGTCAGAGAGGGACCTGCCTGACACAGTGAGGTCCAAACAGTTCTCAACAGGAAAACAGGGGAAAGATGACTTTGTGTCTCACAGGCTGTGAAGGTGGAATAAGAGGCAAGGTGGTCACAATTACCACAATTCAATCTGTCATTGACATCTGACCACCAAACCATTAAGATCAAGTGGATAATGACGGTGCCTCCCTAAGGTCTCCAGTGAAAAAGAGTCACACATAGGTTTCTGTAGGGTATAGAGACAAAGCTGAAAAATCTCCAGGACCAAATGGCCCAAAGCCTAGAAACTTTAAAAAAAAGTGGCTGAAGAGGCATTAAGAGGCATAGTATTCTAGAAGGTCACAGTAGATTAGAAAATAACTAATGTAACATCTTTATCCAAGAATGTAGGAGGACAGAAACCTGGAAAATATAGGCTTGTTAGCCTGACATCTGTTGTAGGGAAATTACTGGAATCCATTATAAAGGAGTTTACAGTAGGATGCTTACAAAATCATAATGTGATCTGGCAGAGTTAAGGTAAGATCACATGGTATAGGGAGAACATTTTATCATTGATAAACGATTGGTTAGTAAACAGGAAGCAGAGAGTATGGATAAATGGACCTTTTTCAGGTTGGCAATTTCCATCTAGTGCTACAAAGATCAGCATTGAAAGTTCAACTATTTGAAACAAAGTCATCATAGTACCAGAGGACTATAGGGCTACTCTCTCATTAGAGAGAGATGATATGGAGATGCCAGTGTTGGACTGGGGTGGACAAAGTCAGAAGTCACATGATTTAAGGTTTTAAATAAAACTGTTGTCCCATAACCTGGTGACATTGGAGAGACAGAGAGGCAACTGGTGGTGGTTTAGCCCGAGGGTCAGCCCTTCTGATGTGACAGGAGAAGTTCAGAAGGAGAGACCTTCCTGGTAACCTCAGCCAGTGTAGGAATTTAACCTGTGTGGTTGGCGTCACTCTGCAGCGCAAACTGGCCATCCACCCAAATGAACTAACTGATCCCCTACTCAACTATCTACAATCTTTAACAAGGGCTGAATGTATGGTAGTTAATTTTGTCAGTGACACCAAGACAGATGGAAAAGTAAATCATCAAGAGGAGGTAGAGACATAGATAGGTGGAAAAAAAATTTGACAGGTGATAAAATGTGAACTTGTCCACGTTGGCAGAAAGAACTAGAAATAGTGAACTTTTTAAGTGGAGAGAGATTGCAGAACTCTGAGCTGTGGAACTACAAGGCCTTGGTATGCAGGTTCAGCAAATTATTAGAAAGGCAAATGGAATGTTGACTCTTATTGAAAGGGGAATGAAGTATTAAATAGTTTTATAAAAATGTTTCCCTGCCATTGTACAGGACCTTGGTGAGACCACATCTGAAGTACTACATATAGTTTTGATCTCCTTATTTAAAAAGGATAGAAGTGTGTTAGAAGTGATTGAGATAAGTTCATTTGGCTCATTCCTGGGATGGGAGAGTTATTCCATGATATGATGAAAAGTTGGACAGACTGAATTGTATCTATTGGAGTTGAGAAGAATAAACACCTAAGATCCTGAGGGGCATTGATTGGGTAGAAACTGGGAGGTTGTTTCCTCTTATGGGAGAGACTAGAACCAGGGGACACAGTTTAAAAATAAGAGTTCTCTCTTTTGAGACAAAGATGAGGGGAACGTTTTTTCCTTCAGAAGGTTGGTAATGTGTGGAATTCACTTCTGTATTAGGTAATAAAGGCTATGTCAAAGAATTTATTTAAAGCAAAGTTAGATTTTTGATTAACAAAGGAGTCAGGTATAGATGGGAAAATAAGTTTGAGATCACAATCAGATCAGCCATGATGTTATGGAATGGCAGAGTAGGCTCAAAAGATTGCCTGCTGCTCCTAAACCCGACGTTTCCAGGTAATCAATACCATAGGACGGTGGAGTGGATTAGAGCCAAATTTCTAGCATTTACTGCAAATTAACTTTCACTTTTGTGTTATATTTAAGTAAAAATGAAAGGTCATTTAATTTGAGGACTGTATCATAACTAATATTTATCCTTCAATCAACTTTACTGAAATAATTAATCTAATTATCTCATTGCTGCTTTGATGACATTACTGAGTGCATATTGCCAGCTGCCTTTTCAAAAGTACTATATTAGCTCAAAAATACTTTGGGAGGTCCTGAGCTCATAAAAGGTGCTCTATAAATGCACATCTTTCTTCAATCAGCACTGTATATTTAGCTGTGTTATCAGTAAGCTGTCACCCCAGCACCCAAATATATTGTTGACTGGAATTCTGATGTCTGATGTTACCGTAACAACTCATTTATCTT